TAAGGAAGGACATCCTTCTGGCCACTGTATTCACTGTGTCCATTTTATATTCTTTGATTAACATTTCTCTCCATGTGCTAGGTATCTTTGCAAAGAATAATTGCGAAGCTTCAGAGTCCGCTACCTTGGACTTCCATCGACACTCCGTAAATATCATTATCTATTCATCTACATGACAAATGTCATAACTCCAAGCAATAGAGGCCATGCTTGTATCTCTTTTGTTTTTCTTCCTCTCCTCTTTCAAAGTATCCCGTGTCGATAAATAATATTTTGAGGATTTAGCAAAATTATCATTATTCCTTTTAATGATTCTCCAACTATAACATCTCTTTTTACATCTAGAGAAGCCATATCCCATGCAATTTTAACTGAACCTTCTAGGCTTGTTTCGAGAAGTGAAATGAACCCTTCTTTATTGAGATCCAAGGTGTTTGTCTCATTTTGTTGCATTTTTTGTGTTTGTTTTGCCTTTCTTTTCCCCCGTTTTAGATCATTTCCATGGTTTTTAGTTTTTGTGGTTTGTTGCGTGTTTTTCTTTATTTTAGGTTTTTCTGTGTTTCGTTTTTGTTTCTTTGTTTTGTTCGTGTTCTTGTCGTTTTTGGTGTACAGGTCAGCAGCTTTGGGTGGATATGATTTCAAGAATAAGTTGCCCATGCAAGCATAATTAACTAGAAAGGTTCGTTGGCGACGCGTAGGAAAAACGACACTCTATTTCGAGTTCAGACGAGCTCAAACGAACCCGAAACGCGAAGTCATGCAACCTAGACCCTAGTGGCGCTAAGGGTGGCACAGCTAGCGGCGCTGGGCAGGATAGCGGGCAGCAGAGACTTTTGACTTTTGTACCCTAGCGCCGCTAACCCCCCTTAGCACCGCTAGGTCCTGCTGCGGGCAGATTTCCCTTTTTTTTTCATTTTCTCTCGTTTTTGCTTGGTTTTTCGAGCCCTTTATATTGAGACAAACCCCCAGACCTGTAAAACATTCTCAATCTCGTTTTTTCTTCATTTGGCACCCTAGAACATAGATTTAGATCTTGGTTTTCATCTTGAGTTTCTTCTTTAATTTTTTGGATTAAGCTTGTTCATTAGATTCGACTCTAGGTTCTATATTAATCGTAAGTTTTTCTTTTCATCTAATCCTTGAGTATGAATGCTTGAGTTTTTTAGATGGTTTTTGTTGAATTCTATATGAGTAGCTAATTGGATTCGCTAGGGAATAGGGATAGGGGATGATGTTTTGAATTCGTTTGTGTTTATCGTGCTTGATGATTATTCAATTTATGTGAGTTGATTTCAAATAGGGGTTTCAATTATCATGTTTGAATGTTGAATATTGTTGAAGAGTGACACTTCAGTTTGCAATTGATTCACAATTGAATATGATTCGTTCTTGTGTGATGTTTTTAATTTTACAAAATTAGTCGGTTAACCACCTTCTAGTCCAATTTAATCGACTCTTGGAACTGAAAGAGGAGGAGTTGATCGATCTAGGCTCGTATAAAATGGGCTTGTTCGTAACTGTATTGCCTACGTGTTAAACGACTCGTTGATTTTCCGTTCATGTTTACTCTCTTGTTACGAAAAGTTATTGAGGGTGAATCTCTGAACGAGTAAGTTATTTGAATCCTTTAACCGAATGATCATTTGCTCGATAATTGTATTTCGAACCGAAAAAAATATCCCCGACTCCCTAGCTTCTTATTCATTGTTTGATTCTTGTGTTTTGGGTGAAATTTGAATTTGCATTGTTTGAGATTTTCTAGTTGATATTCAAAACCAACCATCTTGATTAGAGTGTTTAGGATTTATTTTCTTCTTTTTGTGATTGAATGATCGTGCGAAGTAATTTGGCTAACGTTCCTCCAACAATTCTCATGGCGGAGGCCCAATCATCGATAAGGATCTCTCTATTTTTTAAATCTAAAGTGTTCAGATTCAACATTAATCCATAAGGATGAATTGGATCTAATTGTGATTTCTATAGGAGTTTTGAAGGTTTGGCCTTCGGGAACACATCCGGATACCAGTCGGATGCCTGTTTTCCCCTCTTACATGAAAATCCCCTTGATGGGGCATCTTTTTCTCAGGTTGGTGAGAACCTGAACTTTCTCCTCCCGGGGGAGGTTAAGTTGTAGTTATTATTGTTGAACCATCTTCCGTATTCATTTTTAAGTCTACTAGATCCAATCCCGCAAATGATTTTGCAAGGTCATGTAGATCTTCCAAATTGACTCTTTCCATTATTTGTTAGTGAAATTTCCTTTTAAGATTGCTCTCATCTTTTCTTCCTCCGTCATCGGCCTTCGAACTTCAGTTGGTTTACCCTTTTGGTGTAAAAGGGGTACTGTTCCGCAAGTTACTTTTCTTCTTCCTCCAGAAGTAGTGGGTTTGTCTTCCAAAGCTGTAACTTGTTTATGGATGCTTATAAGGATATCCAGAGTCTCCTTTTGGTTCTTCATGATTTCTTCCACTTTTGTTTGTATCTGGTGGATTTTGTTGTAGCAATTATTATTTTCTTATTTACCGAGTACCGAATCTAGAGATTCGTTCCCCGGGTCGATCTCACGAGGAAGGTTAGCCAGATTATGATGCACGTGTATTCAACCACAAGAAAAAGAAACATAACTCCTAAACACTCTAATTCAGAAGATTGGTTTTGATTATCAACTAAGAAGAACTTCAAATTAAACAAATAGAAATTACTAAACAAAGACAATGATCAAACAAGAATAAAGAAGCTAGGGAGTCGAGAATATCTGTTTTAGTTCGAATTGCAATTATCGGGCAAGTGATCGTTCGGTTAAATGATTCGAATAACCTACTCGTTCAGAGATTCATCCTCAATAACTCTTCGTAACAAGAGAACAAACGTAAACGGCAAATTAACGAGTCATTTAACACATAGACAATACAGTTACGAACAAACCTATTTCGAACTAGGGGTGGGAAAAAAAACCGAATTTCCCGATTCCCAATCGGACCGAAATGGTCCCGTTCCGAAAAATAGGGTTCAAAAAGGTTTTCTTTATTTTTGTCCCGTTCCTAGTCCCGAACCGATTTAAACAATGACGGTATAGGTTTTTAATATTTTTTTCCCGAACCGTCCCGTTTGTCCCGTTTTATTTTTTTGTACAAAAATATTATATATATATATATATATATATATATATATAATACATATTATTATAGTTATATTAATAATATAGTGAATAATTATTAAACTTCATTAGTTCATAATCATTATTATTATACTATATTTATATAAAATACAAAAATATTTTTATTTTTTTGGCCCTTTGTATTTGTATGTTGTAAATTGTACTATTTAGAAGCCCAATTCTACTTGGCCCAANATTTTGTCCCGGTCCCTATTGATACCGATCTATTTGGGACGGTGTCTCATCCCAGACCGTTCCCGGACCGGTTCAAAAAAACGGGACAAGTACCGGGATAAGTCAAATCCCGGACCGTCCCAGACCGTGCCCACCCCTATTTCGATAAACTCCTCCCCTTTCGGTTCTAAGAGCTGATTAAATTAGACTAGAAGGTGTTTAATTAACTAATCAATTAGGATGAACAACATTACACGAGAACGAATCGAATTCAATTGAAAATTGAAGTGTCACCCTTCAACAATTCTCAACATTCAAGTACAATAATTGAAAATCCTATTTAAGAACAACTCGCACAAATTGAACGATCAACGAACATGACAATCACAAACGAATCCAAAACATTAATCCCCTATTCCCTAGCAGTTGGATTTAGCCGTTCATATTCAATTCAACACAAACAATCATCTCAACCAAATCAATCATATTCATCAATTAAATAATTAAACGAAGAGAAAATCTTACGATTGATAAAGATCATAAACAAGCTTAAATCCAAAGCAATGAAGAAATCCCAATGAAATCCACGATCAATTTTATGTTTTTAGAAGAAAAAGATGAAAGAAAATGAAAAACGAGAGTTTAGAAACGGGGGCTAGGTTTTCTATCCAGGAAGAGAGAGCCTTTAATCGCAATCCCAATCCCATATATATAGCTTAGTAGATCGCCGCGACATGGAGGTAGTGGCGCGGGCGTGAGAGGGAACTTGGTCGCGGCGTGGGAGAGTGTCGCGTGCGTGAGGGGCAGCTTGGTCGCGGTGTGGGAGAGTGGTGCGGCGTGGAGTGGAACCTGTGTTGGAGAGTGGCAGCTGCCGCGCGTTGCAACGCGACGTGGAGCCCTGGTAGTGCCGCGGCGCGGAGAAATGCCGCGGCGTGGAGGTATGTTGGGCGCAGCTTCTGTTCGCGCGTGGCACTGGCCGCGGGACGCGTAGTGGCGTGGATGGGAGCAGACTGCCGCGGAGCGGAGCTTGGGACAACTGCTCTGAAGGCCCGTGACGGGCGCCGCGAGCTGTGGCACGGCGCCTAGGAGTTGGTGCCGAAATGCGTCACTTTGCTTCTCAGGTTCGTTCGAGCTCATCTGGATTTGGAATTTCATTCTATTTTTCCTGTGTGACACCAACGCGTCCCTCTACAAAATTAAGCTCACCCAAAATATTTGTCTCTGAAATTCTATTATCCCGAAGCTTCCGACCTGCTCACCAGAAATGAAAACAAAAACGGAGAAACCGAGAAACAAATGAAAAACACCAAAAAACTCCAAATAAAGGAAAACATGAAACAAAACACAAAACGAACTAAAAACAAAGGAAAAAACCTAAAATGGGGGAAAAAAGAAAGGTAAAACAAACACGAAAAACACAACAAAATGGGACAAGCAGATTTTACCAGGAACCATCTGTTGGATTTCTCCATAACTTTGCACTGTCCTTTGTACTTCACGGATATTTGTGGAGTACTTAGAAGAGTCTGGAATAACTTTTTCCAACATAATAAATTATTATGACTCATCCTTCAATATGATTCATGTGATGTTTTTCTTGATGATTTAATAGATTCGTTTTGTATCAATTGATTTACTCAGAGGGCATCCATATGATACTTCTGCCATAACTCGCTCAACATAACGGTCATCCCAGTGGGCAACCGTTTGTTGGTGTTCTTGTTCGCACATCTTCAAAATTTGAAGATATCTATCATAATGCACACACTTCGTATAATTTTCACTATCCATTCTTAAATTTTATTTTTATAAAGTTAATAAATTCATCTAAGAGTTCATATAAAACCTGGGCTCTGATACCATTTTAAACGATGTGGTACCTTATAGAATAATTTCAGGTACTAGATAGAAAGAAATCAGGTACTGCATGAAAATTGTAACTTAAAGTATTATTTTGAAAGAAACAAGTATTATGGTGAATGAAAACATGTACTTTTTCTTTAGCAAATAGATATTGGGGACCCAAAAACTCCAATGGCAACGAAAATTCTCTCTCTTAAGGAATCGATTCCTTCTGGTGCAGGTACGTATTCTCTTCACTGTGAAGGGTTAATCTCTCATTGTTAAGTACAAATCTCGCACTCCCCTTTCCATAGTAGTCCATTCTCTCTCTCTTGCTCCGTGGCGGGTTATTTTCTCTGTTCTTTCAGCCATCTTTCAGCCAGGTCCTTTTATCTTCTCCTCCACCCACTCTAGCAACGACCTCAGTTTTCAATGGAGGAGGATATCTCAGCAAAGCTGGAATCTTGTCAATTATCGGAGCAAGAAAGCCCAGTTATCTTGATCGACTCTGTGGATATTGCTCAAAGCGTCGAAAATTGCCACAAAAGCCTCCTGGGCAAAATTGTAGGGCAAAAAAAAGACAAGTTTAATCGGAATCTGAAGAGCGATTAATCAGATGTGGCAGATTAAATCGTCGATAGCAGTTAGAGAAATTAGCCATAGTTTCTTTCAATTTCTATTCGCTGATAACTCAGACAAAATTAAAGTTAGCAAGGGACTGAATTGGACTGTTGAAAACCAATTCCTCATATTAAAGGAATGGTCAGCTGATTTATCAGAGAAATGTAATTTTAACCTTAGAGGGGACCATTTATTAGTTAACTAGTGAGTTGAATGAAAAAAAAAATTCTCTAGGTACTAATTGAAAAAATGAACTTAGGATTGAAGATTTATCTATACATAGCCTTCATTCAACTGTTCTAATTATTTTCTAACCTATAACTTCCTTTTCATTTTTTTTACCATTGAAAAAAAAAAAATTGATTTACATCAAATTTGTCACGCATTTNCCCCTGCTTTTTCTGGAAAGGTCTACACATTTCCAGAACCTTCTGTGGCGCTCATCATTCACGGGCTCATCACTCACGGGTCAATCATTCTAACATTAAACTGTGCTTCAAACATCTAGTCATTTCCCATGATAAAAGCAGCTCAACATTCATTAATAGATTGATGCATTTTTTGCAGCTGTTTCCATTGAGGCATTTCATGTATAGAGAAAAAATAAATGCCAAACGTCTTTTCAGAAATTTGCATAGGCAAGCAAACAGAAGCTAGTTTTAGTTATGCAACAAACATAACCAAATAAAATCCAGCTGCCTTCAGGATTCATGAAGATGACGGATAGTAACTCAGATCATGATGTCCACACTCTTTCAGGTGACAATGGAAAACCATAAATAACCAGATGTGACACAAATAATCTAAAGACTATTCATTCTAATTCGAGTAATAATATCATGATATATTATCAAGGAAAAATAAATAAATCCATGTAGCTGAATATGCATAGTGATCCAAACACATTCCATGCACATTCAGCAAGAAAAATTTGCACTTTCTCCATACCTGCGAATCTGAGGCCCGTTTATTCTCATCTTTCGTCAATCTACTCATCGGCCTCACTCACACGATATTCATAGTGCCAAAAAACACCAAAACCTGCAGTTAGATCGAATAAACAACCCACTATTCAACTAATCACAAGTAACAACAGCACAAAATTCCAAACCAAATCTCAGTGCCAAAGACTCGGCCGATCTTTGGCTCACGACCCCTCGAGACCAAACCTCATTCAACAACTCCAAAGCCTCCTTCGTGTAGCCCTCATACGCTAAACCCTCAACAAGAATCGTGTAAGTAGACTCATTAGGATTGCATCCTCTACACACCATCTCCACCAAGTAATCAATGGCCCGAACAGTTTGTCGGGCCTTGCAAAGCCCAAGCATAACAGCATTATAAGTCACAACATTAGCCCTAATACCCAATCTCTCCAAGTCATTGAAAAACTCGATGGCCTCCTCGACTTTCCCTTCCCTACTAAGCCCCCCCACGAGTGAGCTGTAAGTGATGATATCAGGTTTTAAACCCCTTTCGCGCATCTCAAACAATAGCTGCATGGCTTGTTCGGTTTTACCTATCTTCGAAAGCCCGTCAATCACAGTATTATACGTGATCAAAACTGGCGAGCACCCTTTACTGCTCAGCTGGTTCAAAATATCGACAGCAATATCGACTTTCCCATCTTTGCAAAGGGCAGTTAGAAGCGTGTTATACGTCACTATATCCGGATAACACCCTCTCGACACCATTACCTCGAGATACACAATAGCTCGGTCCATCTTCTTCTCCTTGCAAAAGCCGTGAAGCAGAGGATTATAACTCATGGAATTCGGCTTGCATCCGTATTTCGGCATTTTCTCCAAGATATCAATCGCCCTACCCAATTTACCCTTCCGGCACAAAAAGTTAATCAAAATGTTGAAAGTCACAACACTAGGCGAACAACCTTTCCTTATCATCTCACCTAAAAATCTCTCGGCATCCATCCACCTTCCATTGCTGCACATGCTCCGCAAAACAATGTTATGCGTGATCACGTTCGGCTGGCAAGGCATACTGTTCAAGAAATCGACAGCCTCGTCTAATCTACCTTCCTTGCAAATCCAGTTTATCAAAACATTGAAAGTCACCACATCTGGTTTGCACCCTTTATTCCTCATCTCATCAAGGAGCTTCATGGCCTGCTTTACTCCACTCTCGCGGCAAGTACCTTCAATCAGGATCGTGTATGTGAACACGTCAGGATAGCATTTTTTGCTCAGCTGCTGGTGGAGGACTTCAATTGCTTGCTTCAATTTCCCGCTACTACACAGAGTACGGAGAATCGTGTTGTATGTGACCACATCTGGATCGACATTCATTCTCTCCAATACCTTCAAAGCATTTTCTAATTCGCCCGATTTGCAGTAACCCCGGATCAAGATATTGTAGGTTATGACATCTGGCACAGATCCCGACTGCTCGACAATCTCCATGACCCGTGTGGCGTTTTTGGTCTTTCCTAATCGACAAAACCCGCGGATGAGGCTCGTGCAAGGGATAATATCGGGAATGTCTCCATGAGAGGCCATCTTCTCGAGATGCTTGAAAGCTTCATCGAGTTTCCCATTTCGGACCAGTCTCCGAAGATAGTTGTTGCTCTCGAATTCATCGAAAATGTCAGAGGGGCGAGTTGGCTGACGCCGGCGGGGGGCAATTTTGGCATTTTCGATGGTCGAGACGGCTAATATCTTGACGGCTGGCCGCCTTTGTTTCCTAGACCCGAGCTTCTTAACAAGGAGAGCAGTAGAAGAGTGCAAAATCGTATCTTTATGGTGTTTGCAGGTTTGTTTACGCGTATCGTGGTGCAATGAGCGGAAGTTTTGTAGGGTTTGGTTTGTCGGGATTATTAGCTCCATGGCCGACTGATAAAATCAACGGGTTCCCAAGTATTTATGTTAGCCGGAAGATTATTGCGAAAAAAATCGCAGAAAAATAGATGCCTACACAAGAATAGAAAAGTGCTTACTCTCGAACTGCCATTAACGCCTCGTACCTCAGTAGTTTTTATTTTCCTCGGCTGTGTACCACCGCCAACAAGGTTTCTGATATTTTATTTCTTTATCCTCTGTTTTTCTGTTTTAGACCTAAGATTTTATCTGCTCCCACAAGGGCTCATAATTATTACATTTTCCCCTTTTATTTATTTATTATTATTATTTTTAAGTAAGATTGCTGCTAATTTTTTCAATAAATATATACACTCACAAAATGTCAATATAAAATNAATCGCTAGAAACCAAAACAAGGCACTCAAAACAACCACACAAGAAACGCACCAAAAAAAAACTACAACAAAAAGCTCCCCACAGGAGAATAGAGACAGGAGCTGCTCCCCACAGGACAATCAATTGCTCCCGCTCGCACAGAGGCCAACGGCCCAAACCAAAAACACAACAACTAGCATAAACACCAACACAGATGACTAAACAAAAACAAATAAACGAAAACACAATAACAAGAAACAACTACACACGAACATCACAGCCTCCCACAGCAAGTACATCCGAAAAGGACAATAGACCAAGTCGATTCGAGGAGAGCTCCGAAGCTCCGATACCACGCCCACCAGTGCATAATGCCTAGCAAGACGATGACCGAAGCCGCAAAAACAAACTGAGAACACGACCTGCACTCCAGCCGCAAAAAGCCACGAACACCACTCCACCGACTAACACCACTAGCCGATCCGACACTCACCCGAAGCAGCCTAACACCACTAGCCTACTCCGGGGACCGTCGGCCTCCCCCAAAACTCAGAAACCGAGAAAGGGGAGAAAGGGTACGAGTGGCTTCCCTGCTCGACCGCTCCGACCATGCCCGAACAAAGCACCTACAATCAACCCAACCGCTAGGAATAGCCCCGACCCGCCATCTCCGCACAGTAGCCGGCGACCTGACCCCTGCGGAAACTGGAAGACCACCAACGGCAACCCTCCAAAACTGGCCGAGAAGAGGCGCCCCGACCAAAGCCGATTTAAGCGCCACAAGCATCATCCACGCGCGACCACACCCCGCCATACCTCGAAATCACTGAATTCCGGCGGCCTTCGAACGGAAATTGATTCCGCCGGAACCCTAGCCCTAATTCAGTGACGACAAGAAAGAGGACGGGAGGGCCGCGGCCATGGATAAGCGGAGGAGTCCGTCCACCAACAATTACGGACGGCGGCTGAGGGAGTTTACGTGCAAGAAGAGATGGAGGCCGAGCGAGAGATTTGGGGGAGACAGAGATTTTTTTGGGGATTTCCCGATTTTTTTATATATGTGCTACCTCATTGGATCTATAATGACCTTTTCCGTGTGAGTGATTGTTCATAATTTTTTAAATAATATTTTACAAATTCGACAGGGCTTTTATATTTTAGTTTGTAAATTTCCATAAACTATCACTTATCCTCTATTTTTAATATCCACTAGCATAATGTTAATACATAATACAAAAAATTTATTAAAAATATGACATAAAATTCCATAATGAAAATTATTTATGAAACATAAAAATACCTTTTTTTCAGATATTATTATTATTATTATTATTATTATTATTATTATTATTATTATTATTATATGTGTAATTTTTTAATATCCAATGATATTTAACAACGTTAACATCAAATATATTTTGATAAGTTACTTAAGTCGTGTTAACAATAATCAATTTATCCAAACATACCATTAAAATTTTTGCGGAAATTTCGAGATAAATCTCTACCTATACTTTCAAATTCAAGTTCAGTCCCCTTACTAATTTATTTCCTCTGCACTTCTTTCACCCTAAAATTCTCTTTCCATTTTATTCCCCATATATAAGGTAAAACTTTTATTATTTATTTAATTTTGGACTGAATTTATTTTGTAAGTCTTTCTCTCTCTCTCCTCACCGTTCTCTTCTCTCTATATCTTCCATCGATCTCTGCTCTCTCTCTCTCTCTTCGAATTCTCGTCTCCATCTCTGCTCTCTTTCTCTTTGTTCGTTCGTCGCCATTGCCATCTCTGCCCTCTCTCTCTCTGTTCGTTCATCACCGTCGCCCGCCATCTTCGCTCTCTCTCTGTCACTCGTCGTCCTTCTCTCTGTGAAGCAATGGGCGGCTCGAAAAAGAAATCACCATGCAAACCGTCTTCCTCGACACCAACGAACGCATTACCAAGCTCAAAGGTAATTTTTTATTTTTGGGCTTTGTTCCTGATTTAAGGGTTTTTTTTTTTTCAATTTAGGGGTTGAATTCGAAATTATGGTTTTTTTAATATATGGCTTGAATTCGAAATTAGGGTCTTTGTGTGTAATTGAATTTTTGTGAATTTCTTTGAATTCGAAATTATTTAATTTCTGTGAATTAGGGGTTGAATTCGAAAATTAGGGTTTTTTTCAATTTAGGGCTTGAATTCGAAATTAGGGTCTATAACAGTAAGCAAGGTAAGATTTTAGGGATTTTTTTCAACAATTTTGAATTTTTTCTTAAATTCGAAATTTGAGGATTTTTTTCTAAAATTTGGATATTTTTTTGAATTCGAAAATTTTCAGAATTTGGGATTTGGTTGATGCTAATGAACTTTGAATTTGATTTTTATTTCAACAATTAAAAATTTTATTGATAAATTAGGGCTCTTTGCCTTTCTAGAGTTTATATGAATTAGGACTCAATTAGGGCTAAATTAGTTAAGCATCTTCCTAATTTGTATTCATTAGGGCTCAATTAGTTAAGCATGTTCTGAATTTTATTAATTTTTTTTTTAATTTTGTATTAATTGTTTAGTCACTGTGTAGCTATTTTGTTCTTTAATTGTATTTCTATTTTGTTCTCTAATGGTGTTGTTGGTTTGGTTGAAATGGTGCTGTTGGTTTGGTTGAAATGGTGTTGTTTGGTTGAAATGGTGCTGTTTGGTTTGGTTGAAATGGTGCTATTTTCTTTCTATTGTTTGAAATATTTTTTTGCTTTATTTGTTTGTGATAGGGCACATAATTAAGATGTCGATGTGCCCCTTTGTTCTTTAGAGATATAATGGACAGGACAGTTGCCGTGCTTTCTGACCGGCACAAGCAGGCTCTTGAAAAGAGTCCGTTTTATTTTTTTCTAAATATGCCTGATTTAGCGGTGTTACATAGTAGAGTGGAGGCCTTAATAAGCACATACAAGGCAGATGTGAATGCCTTTGTGGTAGGTGATAATGTGTCTCTTAATTTTGACCCCGCCGAGTTTTGTGTAAAGATGGGGCTTCGACAGGGCGGTCTAAGCGTAGACTTAGACCTTAATTTACAGCCGAAAGCCTTATTCGACGGCTGGGGTTGAGTAGGTAATAAACTGTTGAGAAGAAACCATGTTGTAGAGTTGTTAGAAAAGTTTGCTATTGATGAAGGTCGTGTAGACGACTTCATCAGGATGTATAGTTTGTTTGTTTTTAGTTGCATTTGTTCCCTTGTTCGAGTTATTCCATCCCCAGGTTTCTTTACCCTTACATAGAGGATGTTAGTCGAATTTCTGAGTACGCATGTGGAGATGCTACTCATAAATTTTTGGTTGCCGAGCTTGTTCGCCATGGTGGATCGAGAGACCGATCTTACTTTGATGGATGTGTTGTTGGAATGATGGTATGTATATGTGTGTTTGAATTTCTTAATACAATAATATGAAATGGTGAGCTTGTTTACTTTTCAAATCATGTCTATGTGTGTAGGCTTGGTTGTACGAGCGTGTGCCTTCTCTGGGCAATAAAAAGGAAAAGCCGAACAAAGTTCGATAGAGTACAACTACAATGGGAGATACACTCAAAGAGTTATCAAGAGAAAAACCAAAACAATCACAAGAAAAAGCGGGGATACAACCACCGAGACTTTCCCTCGATTACACTACTACAAGCCACTACACAAGCAAACTAACTAAACAAGAAAAAAGCACACATAACCGAAACTCTAAAAAACTAGAAACTAACACTTAACAGACACAAATTCTTGCCATTCTCTCCACGCCCCTCGAACCACGACCTCTTCCGGCATTCACACCTTCTCAAAGATCCACAGGTTTCGGGATCGCCATAACCACCATAAGATATACGTGGATAATTGCATGCGATCCTCGGCTATGTCAGATTTCTCTAAGTCACATATATCCCACCACCACATTTTGAAAGATGGTGCACACATTGTCTTCTCCTCCCATGCTAATGATGACATTTTCCAGACTGTACTTGCTCTGTTGCAGGATAGGAGAAGATGTTCTATGGACTCCGGATTCTCCCCACACATCTTGCAAATGGTATCTGCTTGCACACCCTTTTTAGCCACATTTAAGCTCACAGGTAATGTCCATGGAAAACACTTCCATAGGAAGTGTTTGAGCTTCCCTTTAACATTCATTTTTCAGTTTCTATCTCTAGCTTTCTTATCACTCAAAGCTGATCTGCTCCCCTCTGCCACATCCATTAGCAGAATTTTCTGAGTTAACAAATGGCTATAAGAACTTGCAACCAAGAAGTTACCATTCCTTTCAAAAGACCACCTCCATCTGTCCTGCTGCTCAGGTGCAAGGGATTTAATCTCCAGAATGGCATCTCTATCACTGTCACAGAACAAAGGTTAATCAACTCCTCATCCCAGCTATTATCATCTTTCAACAGCTCACTGACCCAAATAGGAGATCCATTTCCAGAGTTCAACAAAGTAGGACATTTGTGTTTCAGCTTTGGCACCCAACAGCTATCTTGGATCTTAGTAAGCTTACCATCCCTGATCTCTCTTCTCAGACCTTGAGCAAAAACTGGTATAATCTCCACCCAATTGTTCCAAAGCCAAGAAGCAGATTGGCTCTTTTTAACCTCAAAAATTGAGTTAGCTGGGTAGTACCTGGTTTTCAACACTTTGCTCACTAAAAGGTTAGGCAAAGTGGTAATCCTCCAAAGTTGTTTCAAGAAGAGAGCCTCATTAAAAGGGTTACAGCAGCCTTTTTGTTTGAGCCAGCATGCTCCATTTCCTCCAATGGATTCCACTCTCTAAGTTCTCCCCCTTACTCCACCAAAAGGCTGCTGTAACCTTGCTCAGCTCCTCACAAATCCCCATAGG